AACCCACGTTTGAAACTAAAAATTAGCATAAATTAAGTCTGAGTGGGAAACCATTGTATGGGGCTTATCATAAATATAGACGATATTGTCACAGGATTGAACAGCAACATTTGCTGACGATGCAAAAATAGGACTGGAAATATATTCAGAAACTATACGAAATCATATGTAAATATGTTAAGGAAAATGAGTATGTCTGCATTGAACTATAAAATGGTCGACAAACTAGGCCAGGAGCTGGAGTTGAACCCTGCAAGCACGTCTAGGTATGTGTTTGTAGGAGGAACACACCTTAATGGGTATAAATTAGACGAGTATGTTTATGTGAATACATGTATGAGTACGTCCACATATGTACATCCAGGGAAGTATATACTGTAATAATAATAATAATATATTTATGCACGAGAACATACACTAATACACGAACAGTGGAGAATTTGTAAGTAGGCGAAGTACAATACATAAAGCCACTAAATACACAGAGCGTTTTGGGGAGCACAATTGAGTATATTCAAGAAAATCCATCTAGAACAGTACATTTACATAAGTAACAGCTTGGCGAGTCCGGCCGCCAGCAGAGCAAGCACCGGCTCCCTCAGGCAGATATATCCGGTGTACACCGGACTGGCTGAGCCGGCCGTCCTCCATCACCCTTCCCCTCCTCCCTCCCTCCCTCCCTCACCCTCTCCTTCCCTCCCTCCCTCACCCTCCCCTTCCCACACGCGCACTACTCTCCTTCCTCCGCACCAATCCACTTTCCCTCTCACCCGCCAATACACGTACGTAGGTAGAATATTGGGACTTGAAATTAATTAAAACGAATCAGATTTCATGCAAAGGGCAGACTATACAGAGATGGGGGTCTGGTAGCTGAGTGGACAGCGCGCAGGACTCGTAATTCTGTGGCTCGGGTTCGATTCCCGGACCAGGCAGAAACAAAAGGGCAAAGTTTCTTTCACCCTGAATGCCCCTGTTACCTAGCAGTAAATAGGTACCTGGGAGTTAGACAGCCCGTAAAAATCTGCCACTTACGAGTTATTCATGCCCGTGCCGCACACCTCTTGGGTGGCTTCCTCAATCAATCAATCCACGGAAGTGTGGATGACAATTTATATTTGTTCTCATGTATTTCAGTGAATGTGGAAATAAACATTCCATTCCCGTGTGGACCCCTGGACCCCCACGCGTGAGGCCGCAGCTATCCACTAGGTCCACTCGACAGAGCTTTAGTGTCAGCCAAAGGCTTAGGGCATTTTCCCTGCAAAAAAAGAAAAATCTTCCCTCAGCTCAGGAAGTCATTAACTTGAATATAATCATAATTAAATATAATAAGGAATATTTTCACACTCAAAATAAGTACTACACACAAGACTCAAGGCAATGCTGCACATGGCTTGTTCTCGTTAGTTACACTTACGACATGTGTATACGCAAGATACTAAATGTGGCTACGACATGTCATGCAAGTAATGGCTTAAGCTTATCGCTATTATGAAAATTACGAGGGTTATTTCAAATTCCAGTTATGGTTATGCTAGTCACTAACACGTGGGGCTATTTTGCATTTCCTACCATATCTTTTGTTCCAGTGTGTTCTCTCTTTACTGCACAAATTTGGAATCTGGACTAACAGTATCTTCCATGTACGTGATACTCCCTCGTCTCCTTACTTACCCACATTAGTGAGCTTTAAGATGGTCCCAATAATTTAGGTGCTTTATCGTGTCTGTGAATGTCGTATATGTTCTCTGTATTTCCTCTATTTAAGAAATCTCTCCTGCTTTGACAGGACAAATGAGTAATGTCCGCGTCCGAGTAATTTACAAATATCATTGACGACAAATTGAACCTCCTTGTTTGACAATCTGTCCGCTTGAGGTAGTTCAGTGAGTCCTAGTTGAGTCTGGATACAAGTGACAGGCTCTTGGTTATATTGAGATGATTTCGGGGCTTAGTGTCCCCGCTGCCCGGTCCTTCGACCAGGCCTCCACCCCCAGGAAGCAGCCCGTAGCAGCTGTCTAACTCAAAGGTACCTATTTACTGCTAGGTAACAGGGGCATCAGGGTGAAAGAAACATTTTGCCCATTTGTCTCCGCCTCCACCGGGGATCGAATCCGGAACCTCAGGACTACGAATCCCAAGCGCTCTCCACCCAGCTGTTAGGCGCCTATAGGAATGGGTATAGAAACGGATTTTCTTCCTATTTGGGGAAGGGTCGTGGATGACGCTATGGCAGTATGTTCGTTTATAGGATGAGTAACGCTGCCTAATAAGCTCGTCTTGTGGTCAAACTGTAACCAAAGACCATCCTGACAACAGACTAGGGTACAGGGGAAGTGTTTGCTAGGATGCACCAGCAACTTCACCGAGTGGTGAGCCAGCTTTAAGTGCCGTGTTGGGGGGTGGTGGAGGTGTTCTCGACCCCCCCCCAGCTGGTGGAGAGCCTCCCACTATCCCCCTAGCTGGTGGAGAGCCTCCCACTATCCCCCTAGCTGGTGGAGAGCCTCCCACTATCCCCCTAGCTAGTGGAGAGCCTCCTACTATCCCCCTAGCTAGTGGAGAGCCTCCCACTATCCCCCTAGCTAGTGGAGAGCCTCCCACTATCCCCCTAGCTGGTGGAGAGCCTCCCACTATCCCCCTAGCTGGTGGAGAGCCTCCCACTATCCCCCTAGCTGGTGGAGAGCCTCCTACTATCCCCCTAGCTGGTGGAGAGCCTCCCACTATCCCCCTAGCTGGTGGAGAGCCTCCCACTATCCCCCTAGCTAGTGGAGAGCCTCCCACTATCCTCCTAGCTAGTGGAGAGCCTCCCACTATCCTCCTAGCTAGTGGAGAGCCTCCCACTATCCTCCTAGCTAGTGGAGAGCCTCCCACTATCCCCCTAGCTAGTGGAGAGCCTCCCACTATCCTCCTAGCTAGTGGAGAGCCTCCCACTATCCCCCTAGCTAGTGGAGAGCCTCCCACTATCCCCCTAGCTGGTGGAGAGCCTCCTACTATCCCCCTAGCTAGTGGAGAGCCTCCCACTATCCTCCTAGCTAGTGGAGAGCCTCCTACTATCCCCCTAGCTAGTGGAGAGCCTCCCACTATCCCCCTAGCTAGTGGAGAGCCTCCCACTATCCTCCTAGCTAGTGGAGAGCCTCCTACTATCCCCCTAGCTAGTGGAGAGCCTCCCACTATCCCCCTAGCTAGTGGAGAGCCTCCCACTATCCTCCTAGCTAGTGGAGAGCCTCCTACTATCCCCCTAGCTAGTGGAGAGCCTCCCACTATCCCCCTAGCTAGTGGAGAGCCTCCCACTATCCCCCTAGCTAGTGGAGAGCCTCCCACTATCCCCCTAGCTAGTGGAGAGCCTCCCACTATCCCCCTAGCTGGTGGAGAGCCTCCTACTATCCCCCTAGCTAGTGGAGAGCCTCCCACTATCCCCCTAGCTAGTGGAGAGCCTCCCACTATCCCCCTAGCTAGTGAAGAACCTCCCACTATCCTCCCAACTGGTGGAGAGCCTCCCACTATCCCCCTAGCTAGTGGAGAGCCTCCATTGACAAATATTGGATGACCTGTGTACACGAAACTGTTGGATAACGGAAACAGCCACTAAAATTTAGCAGTAAATGCAGACTAAATTCAACAGTTCTAACACGTTACAGCGCCCCAGTCACTCTATATGCCAGAGTCGGAGATGAATACTAACAATAGCACTGCACCAAAGTCAGCAGTATACAGTTGTTTCACTGGGTGCCCATAAATTAGTTGCAGATAATACATAAACAATATTGAGGCATCCTAAGGTCTAATACAGCACCTACCTTGCTTAGCTTCCGGGGATCAACGGCCCCGCGGCCCGGTCTCCGACCGACCCGAGATGAAATATCACCTAAATATTACCTAAATATATACTGAGCCAAACAGTCCCTGTAAACAATGGCGGTTAAGTCTTGACACTGAAGACATCTATTATAAGTAAAAATCACTCCACAAACAATAAAACCGTATCAATAAGTAATCATTAGCAACATGCCAGATATATTAAACCTAACCTGAACAGTGATTGAAAGGTAGCTAGCCAGTTAATAGCAGCCCTGAGAATCAGCCGTCCACACTCTAGGAAATCACACAGCCAAATGACTGGTGAAATGCTTGCTTACCGACAACACCCTGCCAGAGTTACGTTAATTACTTTCTCTAATAAGAGTTCTACAAATAAAGACTGGATATTGGCTAGTCCAGAAGATGCAATCAACTCTTTGACAATATTTCTAACAACCTCTAGTCACATATAGCGGTTAATAGAGTCCTGAAACTTAAACACAAGTGTGGGAGGAATTACAGCCTGGCAACATCGCATCAGCTTTGACGAAACCAGTGAAATGGAAAATGTCTAACTCAACGGCTGACTCAAACTCTGACATGTATGATATATTATATCATTATTATCTAAACAAACGCAATAGACTGACGGTGGCTCCAAAATAATTAATATGCACGAGATCACATGCTATATACTAAATCCATTATATGTAAACTAAAAAATGAACAATTTCTTAAAGGAGCACAAGCATATGTAATTACATAATTTTCACACACTAATTAACAATTAACTACCTTAATATACTATGCAATTTAAATAATAAGTCGCCCTTGACTCATATACGGACTGCTAAGCAAAGTTGCAGAGGCGAGCCTAGTGCGGAATTATCCTGCCACCGATTTACATGTTAATAATTCAAATATCATCATGACTTCAACATGACCAGTAATAAAATAATCATCATTGCAAACCGTGCATCAAGATGCAAAACAAAAAAGGTATTAGCTAGAAAGTTCAAATAAGTTTATTGAGACAATGAAATCTCAAAAGGATAGATTAGCTTAGGCTATTTCTATCCTCCTGATTGAGGTGGCGTTTTCCCTCTGGATCGCCACTCCGAGGCGCTGAAAGGGGAAACTGTTTACCAGCTTGACGGCTCAGTTACCATCGCACATTAACCTGTGTTTGCGTCGTGCAGGTAAGATGACCCGCGTGGACCCGTCGCTGATGAGCCCCACTGAGGAGATGATTGGTGAACACCAGCCCAGGGAGCACGCCGAGCCCCTCAACCCACACACCAAGTCCCTCCAGCTGGACGCTGATAGCGTCCAATCGGAAGACAAGCGCGACGGTAAGTCCAAATTACACTCACACACGCGGTGAATCATACTAAATGAATAAATGAGTGAATTTGGTATGTGCACACGAACGCACACATATGAATACACGCTGGTGTGTGTGTGTGTGTGTGTGTGTGTGTGTGTGTGTGTGTGTGTGTGTGTGTGTGTGTGTGTGTGTGTGTGTGTGTGTGTGTGTGTGTGTGTGTGTGTGTGTGTGCAATGATCAACAACACTGGTGGCAGGAAGTTGGTCGAGGCTTGTCTGGCAACATCATCACACACACCTACTTTTCCCTGACGTAAGGTGAATGATATAACTTACTTTTCCTGACGTACAAAAAGGAACAAAAAGTGAAAGCCTATATAGGGATTCAGTAAATAGTATCAGGTTATAAAAGGTAACATCAATAACTGTAGTATTTCAAGCGTAGGTTAGACATATACATGAATGAGTTTGGGAGGATATAGATAGGCTTTGCATTTGGGATAGATAGGAGCAGCCTCGTTTGGGCCAATAGCCCATCTGTTGTGACTTTTATTGTTGTGCTATTTTGTGATGTTCATACTTGCAGGAGGATGTTGGCAGGTACGGTACACATTTGCCTTCCTGGCCTTGGTGGGCATCGCTCTCATGTACGCCATGAGGGTCGTTCTCTCCATCGCTATCGTGGCTATGGTGGGCTCCAATGGCCACCAACAGCACGCCAACGTCACACATGAGGCTTCTAATATCTGCCCGGACTCCGACGCCCTGGATCACGGCGACGTCAACACCTCCACCAGCATCACCAAGGACAGCGTCTTGGTGAGTTTCCTGCCTTCACACTCTTGTCAAACCAGTCTTCATTATAATTTCAGGTGCTTGGTATCCCTCCCTTAATGGTGGTGTGCGTGCTGTCTTTGACCAGGTTCGTGTCTCAAGGCCGTTTGATACACTAATTTGTTTTTTCTCACAATCTATCACTGAGCGATTGATGTTTTAAATATTTTATTGTGGGGTACGTCCCCCCTTATTTATTTTTTTGCTTTACTGCCTAGTTTGAACAGTAATAAATATGAAAATATGCTTGCACTTACTCGAGTAAGCTCGAATACTTCGTACTCGAGCTTACTCGAAAGTTACCACTCGACATATACTTCAAGCAAGGGATACACTATCCAGCATAAGGAATTTCCTTAATGATTAATTGGCACTGTATTTACAAAGTGAAAGTGAAGAAGTGCATGTAGGATTGGATTATAACGAAAAGTTTGTATGTATCTTGGCAACACCTAAAGTTGGGCTTCACAGAAAACACGAAACCTGCACCACTCCATAACGGCTCACTTCAACCTTGACGAATTTTCATGGATTTGATTCTTAATTTATTTTATCCACAACCATACAGATGGTACTGCTTCACTCGTACAGACGCCCCCCCCTCACTTTCCTCACCCATCCAAACGTCCCCATCTTGTCCATAGGTCCACGCCCTCATATATCATGTTCACTTTTGCTTCCCATTTCTTTCGTGTTGCACTGTCTCCCGATTTCCTCATTCCTCTCTATGCCATCTTGTGAATCACGTTATATTTTAAGACAAGTAGTCTCAGAGTTCAGCTCTCCATTGGCGCCAATTTTCTTTTACACACACGCGCTATGTTCGCCGTACGAGAGTGTGGGCAGCAGCGGTGCCAGACCTCCCCAAATCTGGCAGTATTTATGTTCCTCTTCCTCTAATTTCTTTTTATCGATTTTCACCATTATTGATCGTAGTCAATGAGTCTTGAGGCATGAGCGTGCTTGTTGGTGGCTGGGCACAGATGATGGATTTATATAAATAATAAACATTATTACATTATTATTACCAATATATAGTTTTTGATTGGACGGGTCTCCTGCAGGAGGGCGAGTTCGCCTGGGACGAGACCATCCAGGGGGTGATCCTGGGCTCCTTCTTCTGGGGTTACTGCTGCACCAACATCATGGGAGGGCGGGCGGCCGAGTACATGGGCGGCAAGTTGGTGTTCGGTCTGGGCATCGTCCTCTCCGCCCTCCTCACCGTCCTCACCCCCGTCAGCGCCAGGATCTCCACCGAACTCCTCATCGCCGTCAGGGTCCTCGGAGGCATCGTACAGGTGAGAAACCCCACTAAATTGAGTTATCAAATCATTTAGCTCGGATGAGAAGCCGGTGTATGTACATATGTGAAAGCGTAGGTTAGACATATATATGTGAATTAGTTTGGGATGTGCATAAATAGGAACCGTGTCGTAAGGGTTAGTATATGTTATCGTGCGGAGATTTAGATCAGTAGATTGATACGAGTGGAAGCGATTTGGTAATCATGCATTGCGTCAAGGGGAGATAAGACACAACAATATGTCTCACGTGGCAGGGATTGGGAGAGATATCCCACGCGGCAGGGACTGGGAGAGATATCCCACGTGGCAGGGACTGGGAGAGATATCCCACGTGGCAGAGACTGGGAGAGATATCCCACGTGGCAGCGACTGGGAGAGATATCCCACGTGGCGGGGACTGGGAGAGATATCCCACGTGGCGGGGACTGGGAGAGATATCCCACGTGGCAGCGACTGGGAGAGATATCCCATGTGGCAGGGACTGGGAGAGATATCCCACGTGGCAGGGACTGGGAGAGATATCCCACGTGGCAGCGACTGGGAGAGATATCCCACGTGGCAGGGGCTGGGAGAGATATCCCACGTGGCAGCGACTGGGAGAGATATCCCACGTGGCGGGGACTGGGAGAGATATCCCACGTGGCAGGGACTGGGAGAGATATCCCACGTGGCGGGGACTGGGAGAGCAATAATGTTACTGCGACTGTGGGATTCCTAAGGTACCACACAAGAGCCTTGAGAAGTACTTCCCATATGACGCAGTGGGCAGTTTTCCCGCTACTTATCTGCCTTTACGCAATCCATCATTGCCAGGTCTCTCCACTTCCGCTGTCTCTCGTGCCAACATTTCTATATTGATAAATGACGATTAATCATTAAAAATAATACTTACGCCCCCCAAAAACAAATTAAATACCTCCGTTAGAATTAGAATCACTTCATCAAGAGGCTATAATATGGCGGTATCAAAATTGATTTATTCGCTTTGGTATTTGAAGAAGGTTACAGGGCAATTAATATCATTATGATGATTGGCAGTGTTTTATGGCGCTCTGCCAGACGTAGGTCACTCCCTCTCCCTGGGAGGTTGCAAGACGGCCTTCATGTCTGCCACGACGCAACACACACACACACTCACACACTCACTCACTCACTCACTCTCTCTCTCTCTCTCTCTCTCTCTCTCTCTCTCTCTCTCTCTCTCTCTCTCTCTCTCTCTCTCTCTCTCTCTCTCTCTCTCTCTCTCTCTCTCTCTCTCTCTCTCTCTCTCTCTCTCTCTCTCTCTCTCTCTCTCTCTCTCTCTCTCTCTCTCTCTCTCTCTCTCTCTCTCTCTCTCTCTCTCTCTCTCTCTCTCTCTCTCTCTCTCTCTCTCTCTCTCTCTCTCTCTCTCTCTCTCTCTCTCTCTCTCTCTCTCTCTCTCTCTCTCTCTCTCTCTCTCTCTCTCTCTCTCTCTCTCTCTCTCTCTCTCTCTCTCTCTCTCTCTCTCTCTCTCTCTCTGTCTCTCTCTCTCTCTCTCTCTCTCTCTCTCTCTCTCTCTCTCTCTCTCTCTCTCTCTCTCTCTCTCTCTCTCTCTCTCTCTCTCTCTCTCTCTCTCTCTCTCTCTCTCTCTCTCTCTCTCTCTCTCTCTCTCTCTCTCTCTCTCTCTCTCTCTCTCTCTCTCTCTCTCTCTCTCTCTCTCTCTCTCTCTCTCTCTCTCTCTCTCTCTCTCTCTCTCTCTCTCTCTCTCTCTCTCTCTCTCTGTCTCTCTGTCTCTCTCTCTGTCTCTCTCTCTCTCTCTCTCTCTCTCTCTCTCTCTCTCTCTCTCTCTCTCTCTCTCTCTCTCTCTGTCTCTCTCTGTCTCTGTCTCTCTCTCTGTCTCTCTCTCTGTCTCTGTCTCTCTCTCTGTCTCTCTCTCTCTCTCTCTCTCTCTCTCTCTCTCTCTCTCTCTCTCTCTCTCTCTCTCTCTCTCTCTCTCTCTCTCTGTCTCTGTCTCTGTCTCTGTCTCTGTCTCTCTCTCTCTCTCTCTCTCTCTCTCTCTCTCTCTCTCTCTCTCTCTCTCTCTCTCTCTCTCTCTCTCTCTCTCTCTCTCTCTCTCTCTCTCACACACACACACACACACACACACACCGGGCCTCGTGGCAGAGTGGACAGCGCTCGGGTGTCGTAGTCCTAAGGGCCCGGGGTTCGATTCCCGGCCGAGGGGGGAAATGGACAGAGTTTCTTTCACCCTAATGCTACTGGTCACCTAGCAGTTAATAGGTACCTGGAAGTAAGACAGCTGCTTCTTGGATATGTGTGTGTGTGTGAGACAAAGAAATATATGTTGTAGATATAGTAGAGGAAAAATAGATTGGTTAAAAAAGGGCTAAGAGCTAATAGTTCGATTTTGCAGGCACAGATTATAAATACACACACACACACACACTCAGTATATTGTAACCTTTTGATGAATTATTATTTTTCATCCGAGGTAATATACTTTTCAGGGAAGGAATTGCGATTGCTTCGTAGTTATCAAAATCAATATTTTTTATTTTATTTTTACATACGAGTGAACCGAACAAAGATGAAGGCATCGGAGAGACTTGGCAGCTTGCTGGGTACAGATAGCAACCAGAAAAACAGAGTTGATTTATGTTGAATGTAAATTGTCAACCGTAGTACGGAGGAGTGGTGGAAGTGGTTGAATAGTCTCTCACTGAAGGCTCGAGTACCAAGGCTCACGGTACCACGTGTACAGTACCTTACTGGTATTGGTACACTATACTTACTGGTACAATACCAGTACTTACGGCGTTTGTGTTGATCAACCCGCCCTCTCAACTAGTACGTCTAATTTTGCACGTTGTGGTCCCTAATGCAAATTACAAAGTACTACGAAAAGCAGCGGCTCACAAAAATCCATGTTTTCTATACATCGATAGGTTAGGTTTAGGTTAGGTTAGGTGAGTTCGTACATTTCTGGCTAGATTAGTACTTTGTATTTTGTACGTTGTGGCAGGCAAAGCCAGAGAACAGGGCTGAATATACGCTGCGGAGTAGACCAATGGTCGCAAAGTCAAATTGTCATGTGTGTGTTATCCCTGGAGAGTTTTTTGGGGGGATAATAACATGCACTTAGATTACTGGACATTTATGAAGGGTTATAAAGTTGTCAAGAGCTAGTTATTGATGTTAAAAATGTTAAAATATTAACAGGTGCCCCATCTCGCAGGATGGTTAACCAGGCAGGGGCATGTGATCACTATTATTGTTTTTAGTAACACATTTAGGTACCTGTGCATTCGTGCAGCTGCCATATATATAAAAGAAAGAGGGAGAGAGAGAGAGTGTCTGTCAGTATGTCTGTAAGTCTTTTTTTTATTATTATTATTAATACATGAGGTACATCTACATTAGTGCAGCTACTCTAGACTATATGAAGTGGAGTACAGTGTGTCAAAAAAGCTAACTGGGTGATGCTAAAAAATCCCCATCACACAGGATGGTTAGTTATACAGAGACATGTGATAGGCAGTCTGCACTGGCAGACTCCGGAAGCATTTTGAGGATATCATCAACACAAGATTGAATAAGGCAGCAGCGGTAATAAAAGTCCCCATTTCGCAGGATGGTTAGTCATACAGGGCCATATGTTTAGTAGCCTGCACTGGCAATGTCAGTAAGTCCACGTGATACATAGCGTTACACTCTACGGACACACTATGCCACGTTTCACCACACTTTTATCTAATAAATTAATAATGTTTAATTTAACTATATAATTATTCCATTACGCTTTAACACTAGTATTTATGACAACCCGTCCTCCTGCTTAGATAGTACCTATTGTGAAGGTCGTCAATAGTCACGAATTCGTATGTAGCTTTTAGACAGTAGTATACTGACTAGTTAGGAATTCTTTTAAAATAAATGATGCTAAAAAAAAAACATAAATATTCCCAGGAATAGTATAGCACACATATGTACTATATTAGTTCTCAGATATCGTGTATTAGGCCTAGGAAGGTTAGGTTAGTTTAGTTTGTCAATGCAACACAAGAAAAAAATAGTTTTCCGGTTTATCCAACTCAGTAGTTCAGATTTCTACCTTCTAATTTCATTGTACGTCGGTCTATATACTATGGTCCTCATCGTTACTATAAGTACTTCCAAAACAAGAGGATGGGCTCATTTATGATTGCATCAGCTATATAAAAACATGATTTTTGTAATTCTATAATCTAATGATGATATCAATATATTGGATACAGCCCACTAGCTTAGTCTCCCTGTCGAGGCCACTAGAGAGATAAGTGGCCTCCTACCTACCTTACCTTGAGGCTACCTTGAGGTGCTTCCGGGGCTTAGTGTCCCCGCGGCCCGGTCGTCGACCAGGCCTCCAGGCAAATTGAGGTAAATTTTTAATATATTAAGGTGATGACCTTAGCTGAAGGATGACAATATATTGAGAAAGAGAAACATGTATCTTACAGGGCGTGGTGTTCCCAGCGGTCAACTCCATGCTGGCTACCTGGATCCCGCCTACAGAGAGGAGCATGTACACCACTATCGTCTTCTCAGGTGCGTCTGCCACCCCTCGCCTCTAGATAAGTCACTAAATAAGGCAGGTTCTTGTGCCAGGAGCAGGGTGGTTTATATAGTGAAGATGGAGATCTCAGGTGAGGTGGGTTTATGTGATGCAGTTGAAGGACTCATGTGGTGAAGAGACAACCTAATTCATTCAACATTTTAATTAAAGTAATAATAGTGATATAACATTTAAAAGCATAAATATTTTAATGATTTTTTAATGATTTTTCCCGTTAAATCATGGGACCACTGCCTTATTTCTAATGCATGTTGAGCATGTGTGGGAATAACAGCTGCCTTGCATGGACCACTTGTGCATGATTCATTTATTCTCAATTAGGCATTACATGACCTATAACACCCCTGACATTGTGGTCGGCAGGTTTCCCGCTGGGCACGGTGGTGTGTCTGCCTGTGGGAGGATGGCTGTGTTCGTCGGGCTTCTTGGACGGCTGGCCCTCACCCTTCTATCTGTTCGGTGGTCTGGGTCTGCTGTGGGGTGTGGCCTGGTTCCTCCTCATCCATGACCGCCCTGAGCATCACCCGAGGATCTCCAAGCAGGAGTTGGCTCATATTCAGTCCTTCGGAACTAGCATCAAGAGAGCAGAGGTGAGCACTTAATAACTGGCATCAACAGAGCAGAATTGATCATGAACCTCAAATTACATAATCATGTCAATCACATAAAAAACATGTGATATAATGTTGCTCAAAATATAAAATATTATGAATAAACTTTTTACAAAAAATTAAAGTTCTTGAATTATGATATAAACTTAATTGACAATTTTTTTAAGATTCCAAAAAATACCTGACCAGTGCAAATATCCTTTCCTGTATGCAAATATCAGGTATCTTTTCCTGTATGCAAAACCCTGTACACTGATGTATATTAAGAGGATACACACCTCTCCCTGCAGGTGGTGTCTCTACCTGTGAAGGACATTGTGCTCTCACTGCCCTTCTGGGGCCTGATGGCTGGCTCGGTGGGGTATGACTTCGGCTTCTACACCCTCCTCACTGAGCTGCCCACATACCTCAAGAACATCCAGAACTTCGATATGAGTCAGGTCAGTTTACAGAAGGAAAAAATGTTTGACACCTCAAATTGGTTGAGTTACTACAACGTATTGGCATTTAGAACGAATGGAGATAAGTAGAAGAAAGTGTTTTACAATATGTTTAGATAAGCAATAAAATTTATAATTTGTAAGTTGAGAAGTAAATGGGATTGATTTTTAAATTTCCTTTTTTTTGTCATGTGAATTGAATTATGCAAGGAAATACAGGAATTACTGATATCAATGCCTAAAACCATTACAAAATGTTACTCTTAAAGCCAGTAGGTGGAAAATGCTTTCACTAGAACTAGGTAAGGTATATAGATTTTGTGTAATAAACATGATTTACTTAAACTATAAGTCATAATTGTAACCAAAACCAACTTAGCAATCAAACCAAAGTAAGCCTCTTCTTCTTTTTATCTATGCCTCACAGAAATAAAATTAGGCATAAATAAATTATAGTTAATGTAGCCAATGCAATATAACAATTTAAGTGAGAGGAAATATGTGCAGACTTATGAAGAAATATACACATATATTCCATCTATTAGTCAAAGCTTTCATTTTCTCTGCATAGTATTGAGGTTCAAGGTACTGTATTAGGTATCACGTACAGGTAGTATATTCAGTGTTTAATAATGCTGTAAATTATGTAAATGTAATGCTCTCTCTATCTTTATCCAGAATGGCCTGATGTCCGCACTTCCGTTCCTTGTGATGTGGCTGTGGGGGTATGTGTGGGGCTCCCTCATGGACAGGTTCACCGCTGCCAGTCTTCTTCCTTTGCTCAGCATCAGGAGACTCTCCATGGCAGTGGGTAGGTGTGTTTGTGTGTGTCTGATCTGATATAGAATTAATATAGTCAAGATTAAGCAAGGTATAAATATTCAGGTTGGTGCATTTGATCCATTTTACCGATACATGAATAAGACACACTACAGACGATGTATCAACACTTCAAATGATTTGTAGTCACAGCAAAATCTATCTCCTGCAGGGATGTATGGCCCCATGATAGGTCTAGTATTGATGTGCTTCGTCAACTGCAACACAGTGCTGGCCATGGTGGTGCTGTGCATGGCTGTGGGCATCTCCGGTAGTGTCAACTGCGGCTTCCTCTGCTCTCACCAGGATCTCGCTCCAAACTTCGCAGGAACGTTACTGGGGCTGACTAACACTGTGGGGTCTTTTGCTGGCATCCTTGCTCCTATGATCACTGGCAGCATCACTGAGGGAAATGTAAGTCACATAAGATCCCAAGTATTTATGAACAACATTCTATTTTATTTTTATTTTATTTTATTTATATATATACAAGAAGGTACATTGGGATTGTGAGGATACATAGCATAGTAATTACATTTTTGTAAAGCCACTAGTACTAGCAGCGTTTTGGGCAGGTCCATAATCTAAGAAAATTTTAAGTAGGTAAATACTTGCAAAATTTATAAAAATGGTAACAGTTACATTGCAAGAAAAAAATAAAAGATGAGAGAAAATTGTAGGTACTGTATATTAATTTAGTAGTAGGCACAATACAGCATATGGCTAACACATAAAAGAAGACAGCAATGAACACAATGATAAAGTTGTTTGGATTAAGTACATAAAGATTGGGAGATTGGGTAACACTAGATACAGAGCAAATTTAAAGCTCAAGTGTTTAATTCTCTGTTTATATTAAACAATTCTCTGTTTATATTAAACACTTGGATGTGTTATAGTGCTATATTGAACACTTGTGTTCTCTACTGTTATATTGAACACTTGGATATGTTATATTGGTATATTGAACAATTGGATATGCTTTACTGTTTTATTTCCAAAAAATCTGAAAAGCAAAGTAGTGCTCTGCCCCCTCTCACTGTGCTATACTCTGACAGCAAACTCTGAGTGCCTGGAGGTCGGTGTTCCTCATCACCGTAGCTGTCTACTGCGTCACCAACACACTCTACATCATCTTCATCTCCTGCAAAGTCCAGCCCTGGAACGAGCCCAAGATTGACAAAGGTAATGACGGACTCCTGACTTATAGGATAACACCTCCGTACTCCATAACTTACAGGATTACAGAACAAGCACCACCACAAAATAATCACAATAACAAAACAATCACAACCACAGAACAAGCACCACCACAGAATAATCGCAATAACAAAACAATCACAACCACAGGACAAGCACCACCACAGAATAATCACAATAACAGAACAATCACAACCACAGAATAATCACAATAACAGAACAATCACAACCACAGGACAAGCACCACCACAGAATAATCACAATAACAGAACAATCACAACCACAGAACAAGCACCACCACAGAATAATCACAATAACAGAACAATCACAACCACAGGACAAGCACCACCACCGAATAATCACAATAACAGAACAATCACAACCACAGAATAATCACAATAACAGAACAATCACAACCACAGAATAATCACAATAACAGAACAATCACAACCACAGAATAATCACAATAACAGAACAATCACAACCACAGAATAATCACAATAACAGAACAATCACAACCACAGAACAAGCACCACCACAAAGTAATCACAATAACAGAACAATCACAACCACAGAACAAGCACCACCACAAAACAGCTATTCTTTCCCTGCAAAATATCAGCCCTTTCAAAAACCGGGTGTAAACTGCTCCTTGTGAGTTGCAATAGACAGCAAATTATAATAATTTACTCATAACAAACTTTCTCGGCTTCTTTATATAGTATTAATAATAATAATGTTATTTAAGCAAAAATACATACATACAAAGTAAATGAGAAGATTGCACGAATCGTAGGTAGGGGTAGGTATGCTGCACTATATTTAACATCCTGTATATTTATGTATATATCTTTGCAGATGGCAAGGAGTACATAGTGGACCAGGAGACGAGGGTAACAATGGTGTCAGACGAGACCAGGGAGACTTTACTAGAGAAGAATATCCAGGAATGCTAGGAGTTGTGTGCTGGAACTGAACCTCTCACATGTCTACTAGGAGCTGTGTGCTGGAACTGAACCTCTCACATGTCTACTAGGAGCTGTGTGCTGGAACTGAACCTCTCACATGTCTACAGAAGCTGTGTGCTAGAACTGAACCTCTCACATGTCTGCTAGGAGCTGCATGCTGGAACTGAACCTCTCACATGTCTGCTAGGAGCTGTATCAAGAAGTCATATTCACCTCACCCTGTTTCTTGTGAGGCTTCATATTTGATTATGCATTGCTTAGGGTTTTGTCGTTTTTCTTTCATACATTTTTGTATATTGGCTTGAGCATCATCATCATCTTAGAGAATCATACCCAAGCATCATCTCATTACATCATCCCGAAGCATCATCATCCCAGAGCAGCATCCCACATCATCATCCCATTGCAGCATTATATAATTTAATGTTAATTGCTCTGCAGTATCAACACACTGACAAGATCAGACAATGAAAAACAGTATCACTGAGATATAATATATAGCTGTAAGTTCCAGACTTGTTTTAGGTTGAACAGTGTTTTATGTTCTTTATTCAAGGCAATGATGAAGTATTCTGAGTGAACATAATGTATTATGTTCTTTGTTCATAGTATTGATGAAGTATTCTGAGTGTATTATGTTCATCATTCATGGTATAGATGAAGTGTTCTGAGTGAAGGGAAAGGAACTATGAGGAGAAATCGCCAAGCCATTACGACAATATAGCACTTGGAAGGGATCAGGATAAGGATTTAGAATGGGACGGGGAAGAAATGGTGGCCAGTCACTTGGACAGTCAGGGATTGAACGCCGACCTGCATGAAGCGAGACCGTTGCTCTACCGTCCAGTCCAAATGGTAGGATGTATTCCGAGTGAACACAATGTAGTTTGTACCTCATTCATCATACTGATGAAGTATTCTGAATGAACACAATGTAGTTTGTGCCTCATTCATCGTACTGGTGAAGTATTCTGAGTGAAATAAGGGAGTTATATAACACTGACTTGCATTCAGTGAATGCAACCTGATAGGCCTTTATTTTTTATTAAAGTATATAGTATTCAACTATCTCATAGCTAAAGCAATTGCACAAAGTGTTGCTTATAATCTTTTTGTGAGAGGACTTGTTTCCAAGTGATAAATCGTCTGAAACTTTGAAGTGGCCTGTAGCAAAACATTAAAAAAAAAGAGAACATATAATTTCACAATGAGTTTCCCTGCTATGTATGCTGCATGTAATGACCTACCACTGGGTGGCAATGGAAACATTTTGGAGATTATGGCTTTAATGTTTAGCAATATGTTTTTGGCATATTGTATATGCTAGAAGTAAACAGTTTGTAATACAGCTATATATATATTTTTTTTTACTATTGGTTATCTCATATCTTGTTAAGGTTAAATATTTTTCAGCCTTATAGTATTATTTTATAATGTGATATACAGTATTTTAGGTAGATTTTAGTAGTTCAGATAATAAATGGAATATTTGTATGACTGTCAGTGAGGACCTGTATCGTTGTTGAATAATAATTCCCTTGACCAGTATCCAGAGCTGAGAGGTTGAGTACTTTTTATAATTAAATATCAGAGTATCCACTCTTTTTAAATAGACATGGCTCAATGTTTTGACATGTTTGCACAAATGTACATGTATGTGCCTACTTGTGCATATGTGCACATGTGCACACACACACAGACACGCAGATACAAACAAGCATGGCCACATCTGTACTGTATATGTGAATCAAGTGACGGAAATGAAGAACTCCGTGCTCACTGTGGACTTGGTAGTAAAGTAAGTCGGCATCAGCTAGCGTTCTAAGGGTGTGATCAAATATATGTGACATCAGGCATTGAAATTACAGTAATAATGTATTATAAAAATATATATTTTTTTATGATAGTTATGTTTTTTTATCATGTGTGTTAGACAAATATGAAGTAAAATAAATAGAATATATCATATGACAATGATATTAATATATACTTAAAAAAAAAATCTCACTTGGTTGGTATAAGTCATTCCAACTGTCTGCTCTCCAAGAGGTAAATTTTTAATATATATATATATATATATATATATATATATATATATATATATATATATATATATATATATATATATATATATATATATATATATATATATATATATATAATATATATATATTTTAGTATATTTTGGTAGCAGTCTTTCTTGTAAACATATGTTGTTAAATATGACTGAAAAAGTAACATTAATAATTCTAACATGAATTTTCTCAATATTTTTTTTTTCTTTTTACTGTTGATGGTAATTGAAAAATCAATTCTCCAAAATTCATTTTTATTTCTAGTCTGACACGACGCTTGAACGTGTTTCGTAATAACTTATTACATTTTCAAAGACTAGTTTACACACACACAACTGTAACCTGAAAACACTAAACAAAGTTCTACTTATGCTAACACTTAAACAGCTTGTCTTATATACTCGCATTTGGGTGAGGTGATATGTTGCAACAGTTTTGGATGAGGTGAACAAACTTTTGACCAACACAAGACAGAACACGGAACATTGTGTATTAATTGGATAAATGAGAGGGAAGAATGGAAGTAACTGCAAAGGGCCTATTGGCCCATACTTCCTCTTGATGCTTCTGTATTGGTACAGAGTCTTGAAGTGGGTAGAATATAGTTGTGCATTAATTGGCTGTTGATTGCTGGTGTTGACTTTTTGATGTGTATTGCCTTGCAGATGTCAAGCCGCCTGCTATCAGTGTATCTATCGGTGATTTCTGTGTTGTTTGTTAAGACTTCTCTGGTTGTGGGAAGAGATTATATGTTCCTTGATGGAGCCCTGTTGCTTATGCATTGTTAATTGCCTGGAAAGAGATGTTGTCTTGCCTATATACTGAGTTCTTTGGGGCTTACAGTCCCCAAGTGGGCATTTGAAGGCATAGACGACGTTAGTCTCCTTTAAGGCGTTCTGCTTTGTGTCTAGAGAGTTTTTCATGAGTAGGTTGGCCGTTTTTTTTGGTTTTATAGTAAATCATCAATTGTATCTTCTGATTTTTGTCTGTAGGGATAACGTTCCTATTAACAATATATTTCAGGACCCTTTCCTCTGTTTTATGAGCTGTGGAAAAGAAGTTCCTGTAAAATAGTCTAATAGGGGGTACAGGTGTTGTGTTATTTGACTCTTCAGAGATTGCATGGCGTTTCACCTTCCTTTTTATGATGTCTTCAATGAAACCATTGGAAAAGCCGTTGTTGACTAGGCCTTACCCTACAGAGTTCTTCATTGACTTGCTTCCATCCTGAGCTGTGGCTGAGAGCACGGTCCACATAAGCATTGACAACACTCCTCTTGTACCTGTCTGGGCAGTCACTGTTGGCATTGAGGCACATTCCTATGTTTGTTTCCTTAGTGTAGACTACAGTGTGGAAACCTCCACTCCTTTCCATGACTGTTACATCTAGAAAGGGCAGCTTCCCATCCTTCTCTATCTCGTAAGTGAAACTCAACACAGAATTCCGCTCAAATGCCTCCTTCAGCTCCTGCAGACCTGTGACATCAGGTACCTGTATAAAAATGTCGTCAACATACCTGCAGTATATGGCAGGTTTCAAATTCATGTCAACTAAGACCTGTTCTATGGTACCCATGTAGAAGTTCGCAAACAGGACACCTAGGGAAGAACCCATGGCGACCCCATCTACTTGCTTATACATGTGTCTATCAGGGCTCAAGAAGGGTGCCTCTTTAGTACAAGCTTGGAGTAGTTTCCATAGAATGTTTTCTGGTATGTCAATAGGAGTACAGGGTGGATCATGATACACTCTGTCTGCTATCATCCCGATTGTTTCATCCACAGGTACGTTGGTAAACAGTGATTCTACGTCCAACGAGGCTCTTATCCCTGTGGCCCGTGTTCCCCGCAGTAAGTCAACAAATTCCTTTGGAGACTTCAGGCTGAAAGCACAAGGTACATAAGGAATCAGCAAGCCATTGAGTTGCTTCGCCAGTCTGTACGTGGGTGTGGGTATCTGGCTGATGATTGGCCGAAGTGGGTTTCCAGCCTTGTGTGTCTTGACATTTCCATACGCATACCCAGGTTTGTATTCCCCAATTATCTTTGGTAAGTGGAGTCCGGATTTCTTGGCGTTCACAGTTTCAATCAATCAGTTTACCTTTGTTTTCAATTCGGCTGTAGTGTCCTTCGTTACCCTTTGGAATTTAGTATGGTCAGAGAGTATGAGGTTCATTTTCGCCAGATATTCGTCTTTTTTAAGAATGACGTATATTGGCGACTTGTCACTTCTCCTGACCACTATCTCCTTCTTCTCACGAAGGCTCTTAGCTGCTGCTTTGAGCTCGGAGGACTGTATGGTGCTTCTGTAGTTGCCTCAAATCTTTCCTCCTTCTGCAATAAGTTCTGCTTGCAAAGTGTCTTTGGTGGTAACCTTTTGTGTCTCGAGGTCGAATATGTCGTCCAACAGGATCTCCAACTCCACTTTCCGGGTCATCTCACTTGGTCTGGACATAACGTGACAGTTTATACCCAGATTTAGGAGAGTGACTTGGTCCTCAGTGAGGTTGATTCCAGCAAGGTTCAGGAAGCCATCTCTTGGTCATGGAATCGCCATCGACAGTAAAAAGAACCCTTTCTTCTTTTCTTCATTCAATTTCCAATATGTTACACCACAATGGGTATCGCCACCACAGGTAGCACTACCATGGGTAGCACCACAGTCTCTAGCCACTTTCAAGAGGCATGCTTAAATAGAATAAATAATAGTTAAATGTATATGAAAACTAGAATTAACAAGTATACAAGAATGCTGATGCATGTAATGCAGGTCATGTTTATGTCCAACCACTCCCACTCATGTTCTTGTCCAACCACTCAAAACGTACTCCACGCTGGAACACAGTGGTAGCTGAGTCGTCACCAGGGTGCAAGGTGTATTCCTCGCTGGAACACAGTGGTAGCTGTGTCGTCACCAGGGTGCAAGGTGTACTCCTCGCTGGAACACAGTGGTAGCTGTGTCGTCACCAGGGTGCAAGGTGTACTCCACGCTGGAACACAGTGGTAGCTGAGTCGTCACCAGGGTGCAAGGTGTACTCCTCGCTGGAACACAGTGGTAGCTGTGTCGTCACCAGGGTGCAAGGTGTACTCCTCGCTGGAACACAGTGGTAGCTGTGTCGTCACCAGGGTGCAAGGTGTACTCCTCGCTGGAACACGGTGGTAGCTGAATTGTCACCCGATGCATGCGCGCTTCTCTACAAAAATCAGCATTTGACCTGCTCATACTTGAGATGGAAGCCGTGGTTGTCTATATCTTCCGCGATCAGTTCTGTGCCATCGGCAACCATTGTCATCTCAAAGCTGCTGCCTGTCGGAAGAGCACAATATCGGATCATTTATATTTGTGAAGGAGAGACTAAGGACACTGAAAGAGCAACTGAGAATATATTGTTAGTACTCAGATTAAGTCACCCCTCTCTGTCTCTCTCAGAATAATTATCTTCTCACTCTAATCTATAGACCAACAATCCCCCCACCCCCCCTCTTTTACATATTATTTTAACTATTTCCCTGCCTTTTTAACACTTTCCACATATATGCGACTCGAGAACTTCATGACGTCTATTATGAAGCTAAAATACAAATTCCCAAATTCCAAAAAGGATGCATTTGAGGATTCTTTGTTTTAAATTATATATTTACTATTTTTACTCAGCGTTGTGGTATCTACTTTATCTACTCTCGAATTATGAAGCCATTATTTTTAGAGCAAAATACTTGAGAATTCCGGACTACTCTTGGCATCAGGAGTAGTTTCAGCTTCTAGCATCAAGAAATACGAGAGATTTTCAGAGCTCCTCCAGCTCCTCAGATGGCGGGCAGGAACCATGGATGCAATGAGCATTTCTTCTCTGGATCACCACACTAAGGCGCTGAAAGAGAAAACTGGCAGTTTTAGGGTCTCTAGTTTCAATTAGCTTGGATCCCAGCTCCTTCAAAAAACTAGCAGCACTGAGTGGCAATGGGGACAAAAGACACCAAGTGACAATAGGGACAAAATTGTAGTGGTGATCAAGATCTCTGTATTTACATGACTTGGCTGCTTCCCGGTGATTGGCAGCATCTCCTGCCTGTGCAACACTGAAGTTAACATAGGTGTTAGTTAAAGTTGAAACGCAAGTGTAGACCCACATCATTTGTCTACCATTCTTCCAGGGGTTCACAGTGATCCCGTCTGGGCGACCGACAGGCTCAACAGAGTTGCGGGGCATTAGGTAACGGGGTTCTTTCTCTGCTGGACAACCGGCTGTAGTAAGGCTTCTCTTAATAATGTCATTAATCTCGCCGTGTCTTGCATGCCATCCTCCTGTCCTTTGGCATTTGATGATCTTAACCCTTGTTGTCGGGGTGATGACTCTCCTTTCCTTCAACGACGACTTCAACTTGCGATTGATGCCGTGTCGTCTTGGGCTACCAATCATGGCTTCACGTTCTCTACAACTAAGACTTGTGTCATGACTTTTACTCGGAAGCAGGTAGTTCTTCGTCCCACTTTGTCGCTTTATGATCATCCCCATGTGTACAAAGATTCTGCTAAACTTTTGGGATTAATCTTTGACACTCGTTATGACACTCGTTGACACTATGGTCGCCCCATATCTCTAACCTCCGAGTTGAATGCTCTAAGGCCTTTAACCTACTTAAGGTTTTGTCCCATACTTCTTGGGGAGCTTATAGGCGAACGTTCCTCTCTTTACATTCCTCTCTCGTTCTGTCTAAACTCGATTAAGGTTGCCCTGATTACTTGTCTGCTTCTCCTTCTACTCTTCGCCGTCTTGATGCTCTGCACCATATTGGGTTACGCCTCAGCTCTAGTGCCTTTCGTTCGACTCCTACCCTCAGCCTGTATGTTGAAACGGGCTCTTCAGGACCGCCGTGATCGCTACTGTCTTCGCTACCTTGTGCGGTCCTTACAACACCCTCACTCTCGCTTATGTCGTTCTTTGACTTTTGCCCCTCCTGTAGTTCCTGTTCCTCTTCACCACCACCTTCCTGCTATACGGTTGACTCGCCTACAGAATTCTCTTTCGGTTAGTGTTACCAATATTTCTCCTCGTGTTGTTCCGCCTTGCTCGCATGGAGGGTCCCCTTTCTTAAATTTTGTAAAACCGTGACCCAAGTGACTAAAGTTTTTACTCCTCCTACAGTTCTGAAACGCCTTTTCCTTGAAAACTTTTCTTCCCACTCCCACTCCATTCCCGTCTTCACCGATGGGTCTAAGTCTGCAGACGGTGTAGGCTACTCTAGTTTTTTCCTGACCACTCCTATATGTGTCGCCAGCCTCCGGAGGCTAGCACCTTCACGGCAGAACTTGATGCTATTCTCTATGCTCTTCGGCAACTGCGGGTACAACGTTATGCGTTTCTGTTCTCATGTTGACATCCTTTCTGATATTTAGCGCCCTCTGACTGTTCCGCATATTTGATGGTGCTACATAGCCTTCCCGGCTTGGTGCCTTCCTTTGATAATTACTTCATGTATCCTGGCCGGAAAGGATTGACTAGGAGCCAATCCTTAACTGTAGCCTCTGTTCACCCAGCAGTTAATGGGTACCTGGTTGTTTAACTATTTGGCAGGTCGTATTCCGGGGAAAATTAAGATTAAATACCTGCCCAAAATGCTATGCGTGCTTGTGGCTTTACAAGAATGTTAGAACTCTTGTATAAAAAATAAAAAATAAAAACATATGGTAAAAACTAGCACATGGCAAAGGGAATTACCAAAAGGTCAGAGAATTCACAGAGAACCCAAATAGGAAAGTGAATTCAAGGGAAGCTGATATTAAATTTGTACCCCCTAATAAGACCTCAGAGGTCTTTTGCCAGGTGGCAAAACTGGAGACTAGGCCACAAGAGAGAACAGAACTCAAGGGAGAGAACAGAACACAAACGAGAGAGAGCACTAATATGAAATCAATATAGTTACCAAGGCTCAAGATCAACCCAAACTTCTGCAAATTCGCATAAAAACAAATCACAATAAAGGAAAGGAGATCCTACTGAAGAAGTGAAAGGACGGAATAAAAAAAAAGTTTTACAAATTCAAGGAACTGTGTGAAGCACAAATGCTCGACTCTGCAAGTTTGAGGTGTAGGTGAGTACATATAGACGGGTGCCAGTTCCCCAGGCAACGCTACAAACTGTGCCAGTGCCTCCATAACACTCACTGGTGACGGAATCCGGAAACTTGGAGCCGCAGAAGATGTTGCTGACTTCCGTCTCCTGTGGTATGCGGCCTCCGGGGATAAAGACGTAGTCAGTGTTACCGCACAATTCGTCCGTGGCCGAATCTGTTGACACGAAAAAATATGTGAGAAAAATCGGAACATCAATATAATATGATCTTGGGTGATCGACCCAGAGATAGTGATGATGTGGAGGTATTTTGTTTATATTTTATTGCTTGGTTAAGTATTCTTTGACGTGAACAGTTTAAAGGTTTCAAATGGCTAGAATCTTTCTTGTTTATGAAGATTTTAAAGTAGTTTAATTTATTGCAACTTTACTATGAATTATTCTACGGAAATAACTTATGGCACTTCTATGACTTTTCAAAAAATAATACCAATTTTTCTTATTATTAATCTGCATGTGAATTCATAATCCAGTTTTGTAATCTGAAAGGAAATTAGCCTATATATGCATATCAAATATAATGTTTATAAAAAGTGAACAAGACTGAGCCATTACGTCGTGAGTGTAGTGGATGATGTGCACATCGCTCCTTTTTTTGAGGCCGGTACTGGATAGTACAGTTATGGCCTTGGCTAGAGAGCTTTACATAACCAAACAGCAGTGGTTGTGGTCCCAACAATGGGAAACCTGTACCCTACCATCGCTAAAAAATTATTGTTGGTGATTTAAGGGGCCACGACGACAAAGGTGCCGTATGCGCTCCGGCGGTAAACGTGGAAGGTAAACTACAAAGCCGAACGGTTATATTAACGTCGCGTGTTGGAGGACACGAACACGCCTTGTCAGTCTTACCTGGGACGCGGTCGGGTCAAGATACCTGCTCCGCACCTTCCCCCCCCTCCCCCCATGCTGGGTACTGAGATGGAGACTCAGTCACCAGAAGACATGGCTACTTCTCACGGCGTTATTAACATGGACCCTGAAAGCAGCCAGTCAGACGAGGAGGGCGAGTATCTAGAAGTTCTGACAAGGAATAAGAAGAAACGAAGAAGACAGGAGGCAAGGCGTAGTGTGGACAGTAATACACTTAACGGAAACGATAAAAGAATGAAGAACGACGCCGAGACTGATGCAGACAAACGGACGGAACGATGTCAGGAAGGTGAGGATCAGCGGAGATGGAGGCTTCTCTTCCCTGCCTCATGCACGTTGGCCTATCATCAGAAGCTGCTGTGGACCGTCAAACTCGGAAGAGAACACCGCAAGTTCGAGCCCCTGCTGAAGGAAGGTGTAAACAGACCTTACTTAACGGTAGGTTCTAGGGAGGCAGTGACGTTTCTTAGCCAGCAAGGATATGATGGAATTCTTATGGAAATACCGGAGGGGAACGAGCAGCTGACGAAGGTAATTATCTATAAATACCCTCAGATTCTGGACCCCGAGTTTATACTCGACGACCAACGATTTGTGTGGGCCAAGCGTCACCTTATTAAAGGTGAAGCTAGGAGTCAGGTGGTGGCTCTAGTGAGAGGTGACGTACCCGAAAAAGTGTTCATCACCGGGGCTGGCTACAGGCATGTAGCAAAGTATGTGGAAGAGCCCATAATATGCCTGAAATGCTGCAGATGGGGGCATAAATCCTGGAGCTGTCAAAATGATCCACGATGTCGTTTCTGCGGAAAGTCTCACCTCTCTACTGTGTGTAGAAACAGACTGAATCTGGGTGAGAAAATAGTTCCCAGATGCTGCAACTGTGGAGGTGTTCACAATGCGAGCTCGGCTGTGTGTAGCAAGAGGCCGAGTATGGCTGTTCTCCGGCCGGTGAATGTTACAGAGCAAGCAAGAGCTTGCTCCAGACACCGGGAGCACAGCAAAACAGTCTGCCCCAAACAGTGCCAGTGAACCGGACGAATGCGTGGGTAAAGGAGTCACCTTTACTTAGGCAGGCTCCAGCAACAAGCAGCCACGCCACCACTCAGGACTCCGGCAGTGACAGTGTAACGGTGAGTGAAGTGGCTACTGTGGCTCAGAGAGAGGGTCATAATAATATGGTCAAGGAAGTGTGGGCTGAACTTAAAAAAGTTGGTGAGTTCCTCCAAAATCTGGGGCAGAGAATCGAGTCCATCGAGGCTAAATTAAACGTTCAGGAGGTCAAGGAAAATCACAAAACGGTGAAGGATAATCAGGATATAGTGGTTGAGGACAAAAATGAAATATTGAGTGATGAAATGAAGGAAAGTGAAGTGTGTGTGAATGATGGTAGTCGTAGTGAAAGGAAGAACCCTATAATTACACATAAAATGAAGGAATCATTTGGGCCAATAATGGACATCTCAGGGCTGAAAAAATCTCTTGAGAATCGCAATGTCGCTTTTACTGGTGAACTTGGGAGGAGGTGGGAGATGTTATACAAGGTATGGCTATCATTTAGTGAACTTATTGAGGATGACTTAGGCAATGAATTGATTAATAATGGATCACCCTAGACTGAAAGTGTTGTCATGGAATGTTAATGGTTTGAGAAACAGGGTTACAGATGTTCATTGTTATGTGATGGGAAATGATATTGATGTTGTAGCTCTCCAGGAGACAGGGGATAGGAATGAAGGATTATTGAAATTAAATGGCTATAAAGGGTTTCACCTCTTCGCTGCAAATAACATCAGAGGCACGTCGATTTATGTTAAGAACTCCATACCAGCAGAGTTAGTAGAACCGCCATCAAAAACGCAAGGTATAGAGAGTGTCTGTGTTAAATTATCATTAAGGGAAGGGGAATTTATTGTAGTTAATTTGTATGTATCCAGGAACTGCTTCGACGCTAACTATTTACCTGACTGCATTTATACTAATCCTTCACTGGTCATTGGGGACCTTAATGCTCGGCACACAAGCCTTGGGACAGTGGGTAGTATTAATGCTAATGGGGTCAAGTGGTTACAGTTTCTACAAGATCATCCAGATACCTGTCTATTGGGAAACAATGAACCAACTCACATCAGGGGAGGACGGCTTGACTATGCCTGCATTTTAAACTCTCAGGGGATTATGGGGGAGGCTCGGGTTGTTCGGGAACTACTTAGTGACCACTTTGCCTTGAACGTTGAATTACCACTGGGGAAAAAACAAGTCCACTTTCAAAGGAAAAGGCTAAATATTAAGAAAGATATGAAAAATTATTTTATTCAAAATATGGGAGATTGGTATCAACATTACACGCCGCTCTGCGTTGATAGTTTTTACGAGGACATGGTCGAGAACATAGAGAAATTAGTACAGAGGGAAAATAACGGGGGCAGGGGAAGCAAGACGCACGGACCTAAGAAATTTAAATATTCCAATGATCAGCAAGTCAAGGGATGGGAGAGAATGCTACGGGGTGCGCATAAAGCATGGTTAAAAAATGGAATGAGGGATGAAGAGAAAAATACAATGTTGGAAGTGGCTAGGGAATGCAGTCAGGTGAGGAAGGAGGCGCGGGACAGATACTGGCAAGACTTTGCTCAGGCCATTGGTAATACTAAGAACCTTAAAGACATATGGAGAGCAGTAAATAAAGTCAGGGGTTGTAAGACTAAATTCATTGCTCACTCAGATCCAGGGAAAGTTGCTAATGAGTTAGTAGATAAATGGGCAAGTGCTGCTGGTATGGAGTCCTTACCTGCAGACACGAGAGTCGCCATTGAGTCATGGGAAAATATTAGAAATGGAGTAACTTTATGTGCCTTAAATACAAGATCTATAGCATGCACTGAGATAACCCACGATGAGCTACTGGATGCTATAAAAAGTGGCAGCTCCACTGCTCCGGGAAAAGATGGAGTAACGTATGACATACTTAATTATTTAGCCGGTATGAAACCTAATCCCTTACTTGATTTGTTTAATATGAGTTATAGAGAGGGAAAGTTACCAAGAAAATGGAAAGAGGCTGTCATCATTCCTATCCCTAAGTCAAACGGAGGCTACAGACCTGTCTCCTTAATATCCTGCTTTTGTAAAATGATGGAAAGGATTTTGTTAAATAGGCTACTCTACCTTGTAGGTGATAACATGTCCAATAATCTCTTTGGTTTTATCAAAGGCAAAAGTACTGCGGATTGTCTCTTAAAGTGTTTGTCTAATGTGGATGACAATTGTAGAGTTTTTGTTGATCTACAAGGAGCGTTTGATAAAGCCAATGGGGAAGTAATCTTATACGAATTAGCCAATCTGGGAATAACAGGGAGATTGCTACACTGGATAAGGGATTACCTGCAAGGCAGAAAAGGTCAGGTGTATTACCAGGGATACATGTCTGAGGAACGGAGGTTTCAGTTAGGTACCCCACAAGGGGGAGTATTAAGTCCCACCTTATTCAATGTATTAATGAACAGATTAGCATCAGAGATGTATCCTCCAGGGGTCACGACGATCATATATGCTGATGACATTCTTATACAAGGCACTTCTGGGAACAAAATTCAAGATGCTCTTAACATACTTGGTACAACCTGTCACAAGTTAGGCTTAGTTATAAATGCAGATAAAACCAAATACGAGTATAGGAAACGAAGAAATATAACACTTACTCTAAATGGTGTGGAACTGAGCCGTGTACAGAAGTACAAGTATCTGGGCATGTATGTTGGATACACATGTGAGAGTAAAAATGCTGAAATAAATCATATCAGCACCTTATGTAAAGCCCGTCTGCATCCTCTAAAAGCACTGGCTTTTTCTGGTAAAGGTGTTGGGGTACCTATCTTGCGGATGTTATACATAAGCACTGTTCGATCCCTGATAGACTACGCAGCACCCGTATTGTCTTACACAGGCCAAGGCAGAATTCAAAAAATAGAGCTGATACAGAACGAGGCTATGAGGATTATTCTTGGATGTCAAAGAAATGCAATGATTGAAATAATGAGAATGGAATTAAATTTACAGAGTGTGTGTGATAGAGTCCGTGACATTAACACTAGAGTATCTATTCGTTTCATGCGGAGAAAAGGAGGGGATAAGCTGTTTGAGAGCGTTCAGACCTGCTTGAGTGACGTACACACTTCCAGGAAACTGAGGGAGACACGCTATACGAGAGGATTAGCTCATGACCTCAGGGAATACGACGTACTTGACTGCTGTAAACCCTCTCGAAAGTGTAATATGTCTGCTCCCTGGAAAGTACAGAAAATAGACGTCGAAATTGTACCCCTCAAGGTGAAAAAGATTCATCATGAACCGGGACAATTACGGTGTTTGTATGGAAGCATGATATCTCGGTTACCAAGAGGCAACAGTTTACATGTATATTGCGACGGGTCGGTGGCGGAGGATGGCAGGGCGGGGTGTGGTGTCCTAATAAGGGATTATACGGAGTTTGGGACTGTGGACAGGATAATTGAACTCCGGCTTAGTAATTATATATCATCCACACAAGCTGAACTGCAGGCCATTCTGGCGTGTTTGGAGGAAGTACGTCATGACGACAAAAATGTTTTTGTATTTGTCGATAGCCGAGGAGCACTGGAGTCCTTAAACAGTCGAAACCCAGTCTTCATGTCTATAGTGGAGGACTGTAAGAGAAGAATAACTGAGATACAGCTGAAAGGTTATAGTGTGAAATTCATGTGGATTCCATCTCATGTTGGAATAGTGCTCAACGAGGTGGCGGATGACTTGGCCAAACGTGCCACATCAAAACCACAAGTTGACATTGAATGTGAATTCACAATGAGACAAATAAGAAGCAAAATCAGAAATATTCAGGCACAGGCGGGAGTGGAGAGGAGAGAGATAATGTATGAGAGTAGTCAAACCATGCAACACTACATGTATGTGAGTCAAAACACCCATTTCACTTATGGTAAAAGGAGAAATGCTTGGAGTGACTCTGTGTACATGCGGCTCAGGCTTGGGTACAAATATTACTGGGAATATGGGATAGATGTTCATGGTAATGACACGAAGTGTAAACTATGTGGTATGTTAAGGTCTCACACCCTTGCCCATTATATTCTTGATTGTCCGTTGATTAGTGTATATAGAAACACTGAGATAAGGACTGTTCCTGAACAAATAGCCTGGATGTGTCACAACGGAAAGGTTGATGATATTCTTGAGAGATATAAGAATTTTGCACCAAGATTGTAATATTTTGTTGAATTATCTGCAGATGTCTTGCAAATTGTCTATACAGTATACCTAGGTCATAAAAGTATTTGTGTGTACGTCTGATAACATACTACTTGTGAAGGAGGAAATGTATATTTTTACCTCTCAAAATGTTTGGTAATGTGTTTATTTGTGATGTGTGTCTATGTATATATTAACACGTTGTACTGAATGGGGTGAGAATAGCTTGAGCTACCTCATCCCTTTGTGTGTATTTTACCTCAATAAACGTATTTCAATTTCAATTTCAATTTCAACACGCCTTGTGGCAAATAAACACTGACAGGCAGAGGTTTGGGGAGCCCCAGGTGTCCCCTCGGGGAGGCAAGCACCGGGGTCCACCTCACTCAGAGAATACTGGGAAGCAAAACAAAGCCCCTCCTAAACTCGTACCCAAATAGCCAAAAACTCTTTCCAGTGCCTCCCGGCAGAGCAGAAGCAAGCCTCCCACCACACCCTGGGCCCACCAAGACCTGTCAACTCCCGGCAACTCTCGGGCAAGCCGGCGCCGGACACCGTCTCTCTGCCAGAAGAACCAGTCAAGAGACTGAAAAATATAACCTGGGTTCACAAATCTGTGACCCCGGAGGAAGAGTGCGGACCGTTGAATAGGGATGCCCGACGGCAATATCGAGTCCCACTCCCCCCCAGGCGGAGCAAGTGTCCAAACGACCGGTCGCCATCAAAGGTGAACCAAGAGTTCCTAAGAATTAGAGAACTGCCATGCAGTGTTGATATATGAAAAACTCTTGGGCAAAAAAACTCGAGGGAATACCTACTAAATGGAATTATATCGTCAATAGGGTTTCCGGTGAGGGTGAAAGCGTAGTTCTCCTCTGCGGCCGTCCATTTGACGCTGCAGTATCCAGGCTCCTGACGTACACACATCTTGTACGTCTCTTGAAGGTGACGAGTACCTGTCCAAAACCAATCCAGTGTTAGTCATGGTTCATGTAGCAAAATCTAGATAAAGCCACATCCACCTCCAATGAAAATTTTTAAATTTATATAATAATATAAATAACTATTAGTAAAGTTATTAATTAATAATAAAAATATTATGATAGGTAAATTATCACAGGCAAATACAGCATCACAATTAAAGCTAGTTAGTCTGTGGTCATGTTCACATCTCTGTCAGCTGCCTCTATTTATCCTGTGGCAGAAAATCTCTGTTTGGCTGACTCTGATCTTGTCTAGCCTGGTAACTGTTGTCTGAGCCTACTAATTAACACTAGACAACTGGTGCCAGGGATCCGTCGAGGGGTAACTCACTGAGTAGCCCCAGCACATCGACGGGGCAGTCATTACTTAGTAGGTTGACACCACAAGTCAACCTATACTTTCATATTTTTGGGGGGGTAAATGTTTTGTAGAGCTCTGCACACAACCTGCCCTCTTACAAAGAACGTCGCATTTCGATCATATGCGTTACATAAGGCCAAAAATGGTCGTACTTGAAAATGGAAGCGGCTCGGGTGTCCTTAGTCCCCTGTGAGTGGGGCGGGCCTTATGGTCCAGGACAGAGGTTGCGCGCCTCCTGTCTTCTCCAAAAGGAAAACGCAGAGGACCCCTCAACCAGACCCTTTGGCTTCCGTTACAAGTGAATTATCTCAAGTCTACATGTTTTACAGATTTTAACAAACTCAATCCTTTCTTTGCCAAACCGGGGTTTTACACAATTCTCCCATAGGGAGCCGGTCGGCCAAGCGGACAGCACGCTGGACTTGTGATCCTGCGGTCCCGGGTTCGATCCCGGGCGCCGGCGAGAAACAATGGGCAGAGTTTCTTTCACCCTATGCCCCTGTTACCTTGCAGGAAAATAGGTGCCTGGGTGTTAGTCAGTTGTCACGGGCTGCTTCCTGGGGGTCGAGGACCAGGCCGCGGGGACACTAAAGCCCCGAAAGCATCTCAAGATAACCTCAAGATGAGGGAATTGTGTAAAACCCCGGTTTGTGTCTCGGAGAGACTACGGGAATCGTGAAAGAGCAGTAGCAATCCCGGTTGCAATTCTTTTGGCCATGTCGTGGCTCAGTCGATTAAGGCGCGCCTGGGATCATCCTGGACGTAAGTTCGAACCCTCATCACGGCCCTTGTGGATTTATTCATTTGATATATCACGTTATTGGGATTTGTGTATGTATCTACTATGGCAACCCGGCCTCAGACCAAGTCCATTGCATCCAGCGATCGACCCAAAAGATGCATTCATAAATTTTAATATGATGTTCATTCAAAATAGGAATCTTCTCAAATGTAAATTAATATTGTAATATATTAGCATACTGTACATGTCCTAAACACCTAACTTAACCATTGGTTAGGTCAGGTGTTTAGGTTCTCTTGGCAATTATTTATATTTATAGTACATGATTATCTTGAGATGATTTCGGGGCTTAGTGTCCCCGCGGCCCGGTCCTCGCCTCCACGCCAAGAAAGCAGCCCGTAACAGCTGTCTAACTCCCAGGTACCTATTTACTGTTAGTAACAGGGGCATCAGGGTGAAAGAAACATTTTGCCCATTTGTCTCCGCCTCCACCGGGGATCGAACCCGGAACCTCAGGACTACGAATCCGAAGCGCTGTCCACCCTGCTGTCAGGCGCCCCTCAGGTGTTTCACGTGGGTGAAACATTTACCAGTTCGTCCTCAGACCAAGTCCATTCCATCCAGCGGTCAACCCCACAGACGCATTCATAAATTTTAACATGCTGTTCATTCAAAACAGGAATGTTCTCAAATATAAATTAATATTATAATATATTAGCATATTGTGCATGTATAGACATAGGTTAGGTTAGGTTAGGTTAGGTTAGGTGTTTAGGTTCTGTTGGCGATTATTTGTATTTGTAGTACGTGGGTGAAGCATTTGCAGCGTTGTGGTTCGAACAAAATTCGTCAGTGAAGCACTTGTTCCGGAAGTGTTCGAACGAAATCAGTTGTGAGTCGTGTGTAAACCGTTTATCATTCATAAACAGGGGGTTTGGCGGGTGCATGGAATGGACTTATGGTCATGGTTGGTGATGACGTGTTGGCTGAACATGGTGAACAGAGCACTCACCAGGCTTGTCTGCGACCTGTATTTGTGTGGAGGCGTCGATGTGGTAGTTGAAGCTCCTAACGTCTCCACTCAGACCTGTGTAGTACTGGGCGCAGCCTGCTGGCGCTGACGGAGGGAAAACACCACCATGTTACTAAGTACCTTGTCTAAGTGGGAGGTCATCATTCAGCACAGTAGTCAACAACAATTTTAACAAAGTTCGCTGCTTATTTGCTCATGATCATAATAACTACCAGATTTGTGCCGAGTTTACAATACTCCAGCGAGTTGCCGCGACACAAGGTTAGTTAACATTTACAATCATTAGTGAGGAGTGAGTATTCCCAGGTGTGTATTCACCAAAGCTTAGTGAGTGACAGTAGTGAGCATACCTAAGTGTAGACGATGAACCACTATAACGTGACTGAAGATATGATGACCGAACCACACATCAGAAGATGAAGAAATTGGCACGTTCCTTCCTCCCTCACACACGGCTAGATAATAATCCAGGACGGACCGAAACGTCGTCGTTTCTTCATCTTGTGATGTGATGGAGGTCATCATACCCAAGTGTACACTCACCAAGGTTTGGGGATTGACAGAAGATCTGCTCCACCTGGATGTCCCAGGAGGACGAGGGGTTATCTTCCGTGTTGACCACCATCACCTTGAAGGGTCCCGCGTCCCCACGCACGTCAAAGTACACTGACAATATACACAAGATTAATATAATAATAATAATAATAATAAAAGTGTAAATTATAATCTGCTGCCGTATTGAGGCGATGTGTATAGTCAAGTACCAGACCTCTGGTGATGGCACATGGCATTCTCTTATCTATAACTGTAAGAGCGAATGTGTGTGTGTCTGTTCTAGGCCAGAAGCTTGGGGAAGAGCCTTGGCTAACTTTGCATGGGGATTGGTGACGGGTAGGTGATTAACATGGGCGAATCGGCCCCATTGCGATCCTTCCACGAAATTGGTGGAAAGTGGTTAATTTATTCTCAGACTCGGCTTTCATGGCACAACCTTTTGGTGTCCAGGTCGACCCGTGCACCGGGTTGTGACCCGTGCACCGGGTTGTGACCCGTGCACCGGGTTGTGACCCGTGCACCGGGTTGTGACCCGTGCACCGGGTTGTGACCCGTGCACCGGGTTGTGACCCCGGGCTCCGAACACTTAAATGGGGTCGACTCAGACGTCGCCGGGTACCCACTATAGCTTTCAGTAAATGATATAGCGTTATTGGAGACAGGAAAGGGCTATTCCCGAGGTCATCTAAACAATACCCGTAGATGAAACCCGTCGTGCTTAACCTGACTGAGGCAGTGACGTGCACATCACACACCACACACAGCACCACACACACACACATACACCACACACACATACACAGCACCACACACCACACACACACACACACAGCACCACACACGTCACACACACACAGCACCACACACACACACAGCACCACACACCACACACACACACACACAGCACCACACACGTCACACACACACAGCACCACACACACACACACACACACAGCACCACACACACATACACAGCACCACACACCACACACACAGCACCACACACGTCACACACACACATACACCACACACACATACACAGCACCACACACCACACACACACACACACACAGCACCACCACACACGTCACACACACATACACCACACACACACACACACACACACACACACACACACACAGCACCACACGCAGACCGCTGAGATACAATAAGCGGATATTTGACCGAGGCAAAAGAATGGGTGCTGTGACAGGGCTCAAGTCTATACTATTTAGGGCTGGATTGATTCATGGTTGCCTCCCTTCCAGCCTGCCAGTCTCCTTTCCTATTAACCTGCCTAACAGCAAGTTTACCTCCCTAGTAACCTGCCTGACAGCCAGGCTACCTCCCTAGTAACCTGCCTGACAGCCAGGCTACCTCCCTATTAACCTGCCTGACAGCCAGGCTACCTCCCTATTAACCTGCCTGACAGCCAGGCTACCTCCCTATTAACCTGCCTGACAGCCAGGCTACCTCCCTAGTAACCTGCCTGACAGCCAGGCTACCTCCCTAGTAACCTGCCTGACAGCCAGGCTACCTCCCTAGTAACCTGCCTGACAGCCAGGCTACCTCCCTATTAACCTGCCTGACAGCCAGGCTACCTCCCTATTAACCTGCCTGACAGCCAGGCTATCTCCCTATTAACCTGCCTGACAGCCAGGCTACCTCCCTAGTAACCTGCCTGACAGCCAGGCTACCTCCCTAGTAACCTGCCTGACAGCCAGGCTGCCTCCCCTAGTAACCTGCCTGACAACTAGCCATCCTGCCTCCCTATTAATCTGCCTGACAGCCAGCCTCCTTCCCTTTCAACCTACCTGACAGGTAGGCAGCCTCCTTCCCTTTCAACCTACCTGACAGGTAGCCTGCCTGACAGCCAGCCTGCCTCTCTATTAACCTGCCTGGCAGCCAGGCTGTCTCCCTATTAACCTGCCACTCACAGTGCTGGCCAGAGTTGAGGCCGCAGATCTTGGGGGAGAAGCCGCTGGCGCCCATCACCTGCAGGTACTGCTTCACACACGCGCCCTCCGCGGTGGGCTCGCTCAGCTCCGCTTGATTCATGTCCAGTCGCAGCTGTCGGGAAGATACCGTTGTTGTTATTTATAGTTTACATACACACTCACTCTCACTCACTCACTCACTCACTCACTCACTCACTCACTCACTCACTCACTCACTCACCTGGCAGACACCGGTGACCTTGGTGATGGAGAGGGAGCAGGTGCCCTGGTCGGTGGCCTGGGTGTGGCTGCTGGTGAAGTACAAGAGTCGGGCAGAAGAGGAGGTGCTGCACGTCTTCTCGACTAATGTGGGCGGTGTGCGGGCGGACACAATCACAGGCACACACACACACACACACGCCAAGGAAAACAGAAAGGATGTTGAAGCATCAGAGATTAAAGTTGAATCTATGATTTTGCACAGAACTATAACACATGTTGAATCATAATCTGAATAATTTATCAACTCAGCCTTTATTCCAGCCCATTCTCAAAGCCATTGGTTCGTTAATACAGCTACTAGATCCTTTGGTTTACAAAAAACATTCACACAACGCTCAACTGATGACGCTCGAGCATTTTTCGAACAGTGTTTCGCTGACGTTATCTGTTCGAATCGCATCTCCGAAAATGCTTCACTTACGTACAACAAATACAAATAATCGTCAACAGAGCCTAAATGCCAGACCTAATCTAACCTAAGTCTAACTATGCATAGAAGTTTAATGTATAATAATATTAATATATAAATGAGAACGGCCACATCTTTAACGAACCTGACATGCGGAGATGTTGGAGAGAAGCATTGTCCGAGGAATGTTTGAACGTCATCAGTCAACCCGTCCTGAGACCAAGTCCATTCCATCCAGCGGTCGACCCCAAAGATGTATTCATCAATTTTAACATGCTCTTCATTCAAAACAGAATTTTTCTCAAATATAAATTAATATTATTATATATAGGCATGTTGTGCATATTTAGACACTGGTTAAGTTTGCTGTTTAGGTTCTGTTGGCGATTATTTGTATTTATAGTACGTGGGTGAAGCATTTTCAGCGTTGTGGTTCGAACAAAAGTCGTTAGCAAAGCACTTGTTCCGGAAGTGTTCGGAGGTCATCAGTTGTGAGTCGTGTCACTCTAGTCTCTCGTGTGTGAACCATTTTTCATTCATAAACAGGGGGTTTGGCGGGTGCATGGAATGGCCTTTGGGTCTTTGTTTGGAGGACGGGCTGCATCAGTTCAGCCCGTCCTCCAAACAAAGATCCAAAAGTGATTCCATGTACCCGCCAAACCCCCTGTTTATGAATGAAAAGCGGTTTACACACGACTCACAACTGCTGACGTTCGAACACTTCCGGAACAAGTGCTTCACTGACGAATTTTTTTCGAATCACAACGCTATAAATGCTTCACTCACGTACTACAAATACAAATAATCGCCAACAGAACCTAAACACCTAACCTAACCTATCCTATGCCTATATATACACAATATGCCAATATTTTATAATATTAATTTATACTTGAGAAAATTCCAGTTTTGAATGAACAGCATGTTAAAATATATTAATGCGTCTGTGGGGTCGACCGCTGAATGTAATGGACTTGAGTCGAGGACGGGTTGTCAGTTGAGTAAAAAAAAAATCAAAATTCAAAATTCAAATGTTTATTCAGGTAAAGTACATACATACAAGGTGTAATACAAACATTGATGGATTTATAGATAGAGCTAGTACATACAATGCCTAAAGCCACTATTACGCAAAGCGTTTCGGGCAATACATGAGTACAGGGCGTAGATAAATGGTGTCTACTGTAGACCAAGGTCTACTGTAGACCTTGGTCTAAAATGTCTACTGTAGACCTTGGTCTAAAATGTCTACTGTAGACCGAGGTCTACAGTAGACACTAGTTGATATTTTTATCAACTAGTAAAGTTGATAAAGAAAAATAAAAATATTTTTATTTAGTCACCCCAAATTACTCTCTCATTTTCTCTAATACTAAAAAGAAGGAACAAATTTAAAGGATAACTATACAAATTAGTTAATTTTGCCGGGGACAGGCAGTCTGGGAATGTATATACGTTAGTCGTATACCAGGGATCCTTCCCCTCCACCCCCCCCCACCGGGTTGAATTACTGACCCAACTCAGGATACAATTCCGCAACAAATACCTAATTGTATTTGCGCTGCTTTTTCAGCCATGTTCCCCCCTATTTTATCTCTATTTTTATTTGTTCTCAACACATTTTATTCTTTATACTCGATTAGTATTAAGCTTTAGTCATTTAAGTTTATCATGCCCGAAACGCTTTGCGTAATAGTGGCTTTAGGCATTGTATGTACTAGCTCTATCTATAAATCTATTACCACAGTCTCCGTGGTGTAGTGGTAAGACACTCGCCTGGCGTTCCGCGAGCGCTATGTCATGGGTTCGTATCCTGGCCGGGGAGGATTTACTGGGCGCAAATCCTTAACTGTAGCCTCTGTTTAACTCAACAGTAAAATGTGTACTTGGTTGTAACAACGATTCTTCGCGGCGGGGATCGTATTCCAGGGACTTGCCCGAAACGCTACGCGTACTAGTGGCTGTACAAGAATGTAACAACTCTTGTATATATCTCAAAAAAAAAAAAAAAAAAAAAAAAAAAAAAATGCTTTGCGTAATAGTGGCTTCATTAGTGTGTATAACTCCTGTCCTCCACAAGTGTACAATAATCTTATGGTCTACGCACTTACATTCTTTGGAATAAAAATTGGAATTTTTAATTTTGAAAGTGCCCTATCCTAACTTACCAGAGGACCCACGAACAGAAAACGGGACGTTGTCAATTTCGCAAGTCTCTACCATGTTCTAGTGCGACAGTTCTTGGGTAAAGTATACGTCAAAATACGACGTGTTATTAGGAGGACGGGTTGAACCTATTTACTGTTAGGTGAACAGAGGCATTAGGAGAAAGGAAACGTGCCCAACCATTTCTGGCCCGCCCTGGAAGTCAGAAAGTAAGTCGAGAATGAACCAAACTGTACTACTGGTGACCTTTCAGGTCAAGAGATGGATACTGAATTGAACTTGGATGGAATGTGATATACAAGACTTATTAGGCATTTTTGTGTATATATTTTACCTTTTGCATACTTTTAACTCTTATTTACACCAAAAAATCCCAATATTATAAAATTTATACATGAGTGACGCACGTTGAAGGGTTAGTTAAAGGTAATGATGCTAAAGGTAATAATGTTAGTTAAAGGTAATAATGAAGGAGGCACGCGTGATGGTCGGCAAAGCTTGAAGTTAATAAGAGAATAAAGTCAGCAAAACTTAATATAAGAGACTTTGAATAATACTAAGAGGATATAACGAAAATAAGTTCAGACTGAATTTCAATTAAAACTTGAAATGGAGAGAAGCATAGTTGAGAAAGGGTTTATATGACGGAGGCGGTTCTGGGTTCTGGCAAGAGTTGAGTATAAAACTTTTGAACAAGACCACCTCTGGGAAAATCAAAATATGAAAAGAAAGCTCAGAATAAACCTTGACATAAATCCTGAAACAGAGAAACGCTTTAGGATGATAACATTGTAGTTGAGGAGTGAGAGGAGGGCGGAGGAGCACTCACAGACACAGCAGTTCCCGAAGCCGAAGGAACAGCTGCCCTTGACGACGCCAGAGTTCTTGCTGCACTGGAAGTATGGGAAGCAGAAGCCGCTCCTCCCTGAGGCCTCACACTTGTTGAAGTTCATCACCACCACCACTGTAGGGAGAGTGTGGACACTGCAGCACCTGCACAAGCCATGGTTCACCAAGGGTCAACATTGTAACACACACACATACAGCCCCGCTCCTGTGCCAGGTAAGTCCACTACGAGCTCACCATAGCCCGTGTTACTTGCAACTTTTTGTTCCGAGTGGCTGAATCTAAAACAACAACAACATTGCATGAGCTGAATACGCTCTGGTGTATAAAGTAAGGGTAGACATGGCAGCACCTGGAACATGGGAAGAAAGGTAGATAGAGAGCGAGACACAGGGGGAAGGGTTAATCACCCCTACACAAGAACACAGTGAAGGAGGACTTACACTTCGGGTCGCGGATGGTCGTGATGTCCCGTGATGCAGGGGAGGCACCCATGGCCTGGACCAGACTCACTGCCACCGTCACCGCCACCCTCCAGGTCATGGCTCCTGTTACCGCCACCCTCCAGGTCATGGCTCCTCCACCCTCCTCTCCGGTCCTCTAGCGAGATCACGCCCCAGGTGTCAGACCTGAAGCAACACCGGTGAGAGACTGCTTGATAAAGTTAGGAAAGTCGTGTCAGCGGTGACGTTATCAGCAAGGGGGAAGCAGGACGAGGCAACGATCACTTTAGATTACTACAGTGATTTCCGAACTTAAAGAAGTTACATCGACCCGCCTGAAGCTCCGTGACCGTCCTCTTCTATATGATTTGTAAATAATTACACTAATAACAATGTAAAGGTGTTCTCCCTCTAGATATATAATGTGCATAGTTGCATTAATTACATATTTACACTTGTTTGTATATATCTATATAAATGGCAATATCTGTGCGAGAGTTGAGGCCAGACGCTTGGGGCTAGCTTCACTCAATTGTTCCCAGCAGTTGCTATTGGGTACACACCCAACATGGGCAGGTTGTGATTGGCATCAAAGAAGAGCGTGCCAAGGGACAGTGCCACCGTCATCATGGAAATCAAGTAACACCATATCACTTTATAATACTAATTATGATTATTATTAGTTATTATTTTAAAACCATATTGGAAACTGTATGCACTGATCACACCAAAATTTAAAAAATCTAATTTAGGCATAATATATACATAGTATATAAAAAGGCTTTATATACTTATTTATATTTCTGAATAAAGCCTCTACATGGGCCACTGGAGCCTGGCCGCGTGTGTCAACTTTGAGGAAGCGTGCTGGAGCCTGACTCGGCTGGAACACGGCGCCGCTTGAGCACCAGACCTAATGCCAGACTCAGTAATATAACGAATTGCTCCATTAGACCTCTGATGACGCCCTATTATTACACTGTTAATGTACCCCTACAGACCCCTGTAAGCTTTCTATTAGGCCTCTTCAGGTATCCCTTCACACTACTGTAGGCGCCCCATTTGGACACTGTAAGCGTCACAATAGACCAGTGTAGGTGCTGCATAGCCTCTACAGGGCTTCCATTAGCCACGATAGACGCCACATATGGCTAATGTAGGCTTGGAAACCATTGCAGTAATTGAGTGTTTATCTACTTCAAAAACTATGATCATAAAGCAAGAACAAAAAAGACTTACACTGATGGCCTTGACTGTGTCTGGACAACCCACTGTTTCCTTGTGGTCTCACTCTTTTCTTGTGGCCCCACTGTTTCCTTGTGGTCTCACTCTTTTCTTGTGGCCCCACTGTTTCCTTGTGGCCCCACTGTTTCCTTGTGGCCTCACTGTTTCCTTGTGGCCCCACTGTTTCCTTGTGGCCCCACTGTTCCCAACAGTGGCTGTTGAGATTGTGAAGGAGCGGCAGCACTCTACACGAGGCTGTAGACGCAGACGAGGGCAGGACTGGCAAGGGAGTGACAGAGAGCTGGTCACCTGTGTCTATATAATGTGTAATCCAGGCATGCGGACGGGGCGCAGCTCACACCTTGGTACTATAGTGACACCACCACTTAGACAGTTACTTGACATATATGCCACCACGGAAATGTGGGACATTCAATTCATAAACCAAAAATATAGTATTTCAATAATATTATTAAATCTTACTCTATAATTGAGACAGTTTTCGTCCAGAGGGGTAATCTTGCAGGTACTTTACCTCGACCAAGTGATCCAAATGATTACAAACAGATCCACTGGGATGGCGTTATCTGGGCCTACACTACTGTGTTATGATGACTGGCATTTATAAATTAATGTTATTTATTTCATGTTATTGTCATTGTGTTTGTAATTTACTGTAATCCTGTTTCGAGATGCATGTGTGAGAGGAGTAGAGAGATACCGTAAAGGTGGAGGTAAAGAGACAGAAGAGAACTTGTTGTGATAAATGAGAGGAAAGCGTCTGGTCCCACTGGACACTTGACTCACCATTACACACTGGGACTGGGACTGGGACACAAGATGTCCCAGTCCCGCACCTATGGGATGAGATAGCCAGTGCCTGCTTGACTCAGGTCTAGAAATGCCAGTTAAAATTAGGGATGTTAACATCTCGATTGTGTTTTGGAGAATATTGAAAACGTAAAATGTCTTAAAAATTGTATATAAGGCTCAGTGGACACAAGTCAGATAGATAACTCAGAGGGTTAGACAGACAGAGACGTCTACCTGAGACAGGCTAGGACAGAAGTGACCCAAGGCGCCTTTCCTTGTGCATGTTTAACAATATGTGCTTCAGCCTACAGTTTAGACCTATTGTCTTATGTATGACCCTCTGTCCTGCGTGACAGTGAATTATCCTCACTTTAATAAGACTATCAAAATCCTCAGATTAGGCAAAATTGTAATTAATTTTGTTAATAAAGATGTTAATAATAATAATGTTTAACAATATTTGATTTGATCCGTTACACTGTGTGCCAGACATCAATTCCCTCCTTGGAGCCGGTCGGCCGAGCGCACAGCACGCTGGACACCTGATCCTGTGGTCCCGGATTCGATCCCGGGCGCCGGCGAGAAACGATAGGCAGAGTTTCTTTCACCCTGTGCCCCTGTTATCTAGCAGTAAATAGATACCTAGGAATTAGTCAGCTGTCACGGGCTGCTTCCTGGGGAGTAGAGGCCTGGTCGAGGACCGGGCCGCGGGGACACTAAAACCCCCGAAATCAACTCAAGATAACCCCAAGATAATATTAGTAGAAGGGGTACGCGGCTTCACCTGGATCTTCCCCCCCCCCTCCTCTTTCCACTCCTCTTCCCTCTTCACCCCATCCCTCCTTCCCCCCTCCCATTGGTCACCCCCTTCCTCCCTCTCTTCGTCCTCTTCTCTTCCTCACCTCCTTCTTCCAACCAGGTTCCCCCGGCTCCTCCCTTAGGTAAGGAACTCCATGGGAAACACAACCAATATTTTAGACATGACTGCATAAAAATAGCATGGGGGTGGTCTCTATAAATACCAATATTTCTTAAAGCATTCACTTGGGCCGACCCAGACTGGGCAGTGACACCCCAACATGGTTCATGTGTGGTGGGTGAGGCTAGCACGAAGCATCTGGCCTACATACTCTTCTGATGTTCTTATAGTGCTTTGCTGGTCTAGCATTCTATTGTCATTGTATCTGTCGATTATTTTAGGTATTAATCAGGATATCTCTGGCGATGAGCCTGTTGTGGCTGTCAAGCTTCAGGTCAGGTGAAGCAGAGAACCTATTGGATCTCTTCCAATAGAATTTGACAAGATGTCAAATTCATTTGCATGTTTATCGATGGGACAAGCTCGTGAGTAAAGGTGTCCTCAGGTGTGTGTAGCCTCCTACGGTCACTGGTGCCTATGATGTGTTTTATTTGATTAATGAGTGTTGTTTTATATCTCCTTCCTGTAAATGAAGTGTGAGATGCGTACCTCAGAGTGTTCAGTAGTATGTCCAGTGTGCTGGACATTATTATGCTGCTGCGGAGTGCACAGTCTTCAGAGTTACGTTGATATTTATGAACTACATTATCATATTTCAGTTTGTCAGAGGAGGCAGCAATATTTTGTTTTTCATAATAAGAGTTGTTACAGTAAATGGTTTATGAGGAGGGGTTGAGAAATGATGGAATAATTCCGAGTGTTTTCACTACGAGGTTTACAATTTCTGCCAAATACCATATCATTCGCTCATCCTTATAGGCCTAGGTAAATGTAATCTTGAATTATGATGTCTTCCCCTAGTAGTCATCCATCAGTCTCAGGAGACTTTGGAGTTGCGCTCTGGTTGTCGGTCTGGAGTGGCCTCTCCAGGGCGCAAAGCCAGGGTAGTTTATACGAAGGAGAAGCTGTTACCCAAGCAGCAGGTCCCCCCCCCCTCTCTCCACGGCGACGAAAGTCTTCAATGGAAAGACAAACGCCAATACGATTGGTTCCAACGCCGTCGCAGGAACTGTAAGCTCCGGAGTTGACCTCGAAGTTGGTGAAAGAAGGCACACAGGGACTCAGTACCCGGAGACCGCCGTGGTCGGGGCCGGAGAAGAACCACCCCAGCAAGGGCAAGAACGACCCCAGCCTCCTAAAGCAGACCCTGAGGGCCGCACGAGCCCCAGGAGGTGGACGTCCCGGTCCCGCACCTACGGGTTCCTGACAGAGATCGTCACAGCCCTCTTTCACCCGAGGCCCGCTTCCTTCAAGACCAAGCAGAAGAGTGATAATTATGAAATACAATAATTATTATTATAATAATTATTATAATAATATAAATAATTAATAATTATTATTCTGGGGGTGACTATTCCCAGAGTAGTGCCTACGTATCTTTCTATAGTTTCATGACCAGGTATTATAACATGCAAGGCGGTCATGAGCTATTGCAATAAGCGAATGGTGACTGAAAGATGGGGCCCAGGAGCCGAAGCTCACCTTGCAGCACATATAGATAAGTAATGCACTATATACCATCTTAAACCCACTCTTGCGTATGCTGTTTCCGCATCAATCTCTTTCCATAAATAAATAAATCTAGAAATAGTACAAAGTTATACCGTATATACAGGAATATTCCATTCTAAACAGAGGGGACTGAGCTGTGACAACAGGGAACTGGACACATTGATCGAATAAGGGAACAGGGAGGACATGATAACGACATACAAAATTCTATGCGGAATTGGCCACGTAGATAGAATGAACACGTGAGTTAACAGGTATCAGTTCAATATTGCAATGTATCAAAATATGCACGAAAAGCACATCTATTTAAACATACGTTGCAGTAATAAGAATATGTGTAGAGAGACTTGTAGAAAGAATAAGGAGCAAGCGAGCATCTTTAGGAGGCTTCTTGGGGGGCCTCGATTTTGATTTAATATTCCTTCGTGATTTAATAGTCCAATACTAATACAAAATACGCAATAAAGATCATATAATACAAGCTGATCTTCACACACCACAAAGAATAATAGCATTATATGTACTGTAAAGCGCAGAGGACTGAAGGGGGAGATGGAGCAAGGGAGAGGGAG